TCAGAGTGATGTACGGCTGCTATGGTGTTGCCATGTGGCCTCGGTCACGTGAGTTCGTGACGTAAGGTGTGAAAGAATCTGGGGTCATGGGGCTTCCCCTGACCTAGATTCTATCTCTCCGTCATCAGCAGAATTGTTGATTAATGCCTACAGTTCAAAATAGTCATTTTGACTGACCGGAGTCTACGGTGGGTATGAACTATGTGATTAGGCGGGTTCGGAGAACCCTCAACTAATTTTCATATCTTGAACAGCGCCTTCTCTCAAATAGAGCATTAGGTTGGGTTCCAAAATATTTCAAGCGTCCAATAGATGAGTTTCAAGTTATAACGCTATCAGTCGTTTTTTATGCGAGAATAGATGGTTGATTTCTAGTTTGCACATTATTTTCGCTGGTTTCCCTGATTTCAAACATTCAGTTTACAAGCAAAATCAGCCCTTTCCCCCAATGCAGATGTAATTAGAATGTTTTTAAGGTTTCTAAGGTAACGATGGAACTCCAAACATGTCTGTTTGCCGTCGCTAGTTCTCAGAGTGTTTTGTAAACAGGTGAGATGCAGGTAACTAGTATACGCCATTTTGAATTCTAAAATTCCTGCCAAATAGCACATAACAAAGTGGTGTTATTTGTATTACTGCAATGTCATGTCCATTCAATCTGCCTGCGTGGACTTCAGACTTGTAACGTTCTTGTCAGTTTGAAAAAATTGTGCACCAGACACCACAACAGGTAAACATTGCCTGCTGAAACTTTTTCGTAGACATATCAAAATCAATTGTAAAAAGGCATCAGCCAGAAACTTAAACATTATTTTCAAATACAACTAAGCAAACAAAGTCACTTTATTCTGCTGACCACATCTTTTTATGATGTTAGTGTCTCTTTGGTTATCACTTCTATCTTTATCACATCTTTTTCCCAAGAACCTAACAAATTCTATGAATGCTTAGAGTACAGCTTAACAAAAATTATCTGTCTTCTTATTTTCATGTCTCTAGGAGAAAAGTATGGTGAAAGGCCCAAAAGAGCAGTCAAAAACTGGCAACAAAGAACCTAAATCTACTGCTGCCAAAGCACCAATGAAAAGACAACCTTCTCCATCACCTGAGGAATCAAGTAAAAAGAAAAGAAAGCGTAGCTCAAGTAAGGAAAGCTCCCACAAGTCAAGCAAAGAGAAGAGTTCAGGAGATAAATCCAAATCTAAAGAGAAGAAAATTAAAAGTTCAAAACCTAAGACTGAAAGTCATTCAAGTGATCTTTTTGCTCCTGAGATAAAAGTGGAAAGGAAACCTAAACCGCTACCACTACCTCCTAAAAAGGATTTGCCGCCATTTGATGCGGAAGTGAGTACTGAAGAAAAAGACGATGACAGCAACGAGGCTCACAGTCCCAGTTCAAGTATTAGTTTCACATCCTTGCCCGTTGCCGGTGCGGGTGCTTTACGGACTATGTGGCGTGAACTTGAGGACCATGATGATGATGATGACGAGGACGATGATCAGGAAATAGTCACCCCATTCCAGAATGAACTTTCACAAAGTTCTGTACACCACAGTGATAGCGAAAGTAATGCAAGCCTTTCGCTGTCGACTGGCATACCTGTTGCACCAACGAACATTGAAAAACCAAACAGTGAGAAACCAAAACAGAAATCGCCTTCTCATAGTTCTTCCTCACAAAAGGAAAAGAAGAAGAGTAGTAAACGTAGCAGTAAGAACGGCGAAAAGAAGAATAAGCATTCCGAAAGTCGTAGTAAATCATCGAATACAAGTACGGACTTGTACCTCAAGGAGTTGGTCGATCTACATACCAAGTTAATGGCTTTAAGGGACAGAAACTTTCTACAAAAAGTTGTGAACCTAATAGAAGAGACGGGTGCATTTGTTCTCACGCCCACAACTTTCAACTTTGACCTGTGTTCTCTTGATAAAACAACAGTTAAGAAGTTACAAAGCTGTGTGGAGGAGATAGCAGTAACATAGCTGCCCCTGTGTTATAGTCATGCCACCCCTACTGTAAGTGGTTTGCTCTATGTTTATACATAGAATTGGGTGGGTTTATATTTGACTGTAAGATGCATGTACATGCAGAACATTATTCAGAGTTGTCTGTATAGAGCAATGATATATTTCATACTTAAATTACATGTACATGAACTCAATACTAGCCAAGACAAAATCTATTTATTTACTGTGTTATCCATGTTGGATGACATAGCCAGCACTTCACACGCATATTTTTGGTTTCAATCCTGCCAGTTTATTTATAAGTGATCCAATCTATTGCTAGATCACATGTGTGCACATATTTGTAGAGATGTAGACATTATTTTATGTAGACATTATTTTATGCACATGTTATTTCAACTGGTACACATTTTATGCGTACATCATTTCAAATACACATTTTTATGTGTACATCATTTCATGTACACATTTTTATGTGTACATCATTTCAAGTACACATTTTTATGTACACATCATTTCAAGTACACATTTTTATGTGTACATCATTTTCTGTACACATTTTTATGTGTACATCAATTCAAGTACACATTTTTATGTGTACATCATTTCATGTACACATTTTTATGTGTACATCGTTTCAAGTACACTTTTATGTGTACATCATTTCATGTACACATTTTTATGTGTACATCGTTTCAAGTACACTTTTATGTGTACATCATTTTCTGTACACATTTTTATGTGTACATCAATTCAAGTACACATTTGTATGTGTACATCAATTTATGTACACATTTTTATGTGTACATCAATTCAAGTACACATTTGTATGTGTACATCAATTTATGTACACATTTTTATGTGTACATTATTTCATGTACACATTTTTATGTGTACATCATTTCATGTGTACATCGTATGTTTGTAATTTTATGGACACTTACATATTTTTATGTACACGTTCAACTTTATGTACACATGTCATTTTATGTTGTACACATTTCATTTTATGTTGTACACATTTCATGCATGTATTATTTTTATATATACATTATTTCATGTGCACATACTTTCTTTCCATGTTGTACACTTCATGCATATATCAATTCATGTACACACATCTTTTTATGAACACATATATGTTTCACATGCACATTATTCATATACATTTCATGCACACACATTTTTTATGTACACATATATATACCTTTTTTGTGTCAATATTATTCTATGTACACAAAATTTATTTTTGCACATAATTTCATGTAATTTGATGTGTATAAATGCATATCACTTAGTTGTTTTTAGTTCTGTTAACCCCCACTTTTTTCCATCTTTAATGGAGTAAAACAGATACTGTAATATTAAAATATAGAAATTTCTATATAATACTTGACATTTTGTTCCACAGAAGGTCAGATTTCATCGCCGTAAAAACAAATCTTATTGAGACCCACTCAGGTCATGTAGACTTTTTTTTACTTCAAATAAGAAATATTGCAACTCTGGTAAAATAAGATTTTTTAGAAATGGCTAATTACTCTTGTCGCTAATGATACATTAGCTGCTTTTAGAAAACCTCAGTAACATTAATACCGACAAGAAATATCTGTAAATGTAATATGAATGGTTGTACGAAAATTGCGATATTTTATTAATAACACTCAGATGGTAACGAAGTGTAATAGAGCATCATGCTTATTTCTTTATAAGGTTATTATGAGAATACCGTAAAGTGTACATGTAGTGCTGGTCCATGCTGGTCCACCTGTTACGCCGAAGTGTTGTATTCTCGTGATTCCCTCTTTTTTTCTTTTTTTTTTGCATGTCGTCATAGTTTAGTGAGATATGACAGCCCAAAATGACAGTGAACGGTATTTGTGCCAGTGAGATCATTTGCATCTATTGATACATGTATATGACAGTCTGAAATGCCAGTGAACGGTATTTGTGCCAGTGAGATCATTTGCATCTATTGATACATGTATATGACAGTCTGAAATGCCAGTGAACGGTATTTGTGCCAGTGAGATCATTTGCATCTATTGATACATGTATATGACAGTCTGAAATGCCAGTAAACGGTATTTGTGCCAGTGAGATCATTTGCATCTATTGATACATGTATATGACAGTCTGAAATGCCAGTAAACGGTATTTGTGCCAGTGAGATCATTTGGGTGCAGTCGGGTGATTCTGCTTCAGTCTTGGTACATTGTTGCTGCGTTTGATGTTTGAATGTGAAGTGACTATGACGTATATTTTCCAATTATATATAAAAGATCGTAACACATCCATACAGTACTTTGAAGAAGTATTACTTTTTTCTCTGCCAAATGTATAATATTCTTTTATTTTAATTACTGGTAACACTTCTTTCCTTCCTAGAAATTATTTTTGTACTTAGCCATGACTGTGTTGTTTTTTTATATCTGTACATGTTTCATAAATTGTAGGCTAGGTAGACTTGCAATTATATTCATCTTTTTTTTTGAAATATTCTATCTTTATACTCTACTTCAGGTAGTGTTAAAAGCTGATAAAACTCGGCTTGTTCATCAGTACACTGATCATCTCTTCATGTGAGTACATGTGCTCTATATAGTTTGTTTTTATTCACTTCAGTAAACCATTTTTTTTAGCGGTTTGATTAATTTTTATGAGAATGAAATTTCACAAACACACATGTGACTATCTGACTTGACTCGAGTTTGATTTCATCTTTGTTCCAGAATCTCTCCTAAAATGAAAGATATATTTGATATATATATATGTTATTTGTAGCAGTTTGTGTAATAAAGTTTTTTTTGTAAATACATACCACATAATAATCCATGGAGAACATTCACTTCAAGATTGGTCAGGACAACAGAAAATTCTTGATGTTTTAGTTGAGGGAAAGAGCCAGATCAATACATAAAAATAGCCTATATTTCCATGGAAACAATGTTTATTTCTTACGAGTCCCAAGTGACTATCACAATGCACTAGACGCTTGTTTGTAAATGACAAAGCTATTACCATCTGACGCATGCCCAGGAGAAGACCCCCCCCCCCTCCCTCGCTTTAAGTAAACAAATGGTAAGTGTCCTTCAATCAAGCTTCTGTAATCCCCAGGGTTAGGGTCGATGACCTTAGACAGAGGTAATCAAAGAAAGTTGGTCTTGGAGTGGCCATGCACTGAAGTAATGAGGTAGATAGAGTTCAAGGCACAAGTAATAACATTTCCCTCTTTAATCATTGATGTATCTACTGCTATCAAATGCCACTGGTGTGTCTTTGCTCATCTGTGCATGTATGCCCGAATTGATAATCTGGTTTGTTACGTAGCATTTGCTTATAAGATAACCATTGACAATTAAATGTGTAGTCATATTTGCCAGTATTGTACGATTCCACATGATTGACTGTTTACAATGCCATTTTCTATTTGATTTGTAATCAGTATTAAAGTTTCTGACTGGTAAATCTGTGTAAAAGAGCATATGCACGATTGGGGTAAATAATTTTCTTCTGCTGTTTACAAGAATGAACATTAAACCTAAAAGCAGCCTTCAAAACACTTGCAAATGCTCGAAAAATGAGGTTTGGTATTGAACTTACTGCGCCCTCTATGGTTCACCATGCATGCCAAGTCTTTTTCATTCACTGGCATTTCAGCTACCCTGTATCAGTGTCTGTATGTATGTCACATTTTTTGTTCCACCGTCATCTCAAGAACCACTAATCAAATTTTGATGACACTTGGCACATGGATGCTCTGAACTCATGCACAGATTTGATTAGTTTTGGGTAAAAATCTGTTTATATTAATTACCTATTTTGCATAATGATTAATAAATTTTCAGCTTTTCCACTGATATCTCAAGTACTAATCATAACATTTCAATATAACTTGGTACATAGATGTCATATGACACTTCACAGACCTGATAGTTTTTAGGGTAATATCAGTGCATATTAATTACCTAATTTGCATAATTAATTTTCAGCTTTTGATATTTCAAGTAGTAATGATCACATTTCAATGAAACCTGGTACATAGTTACTCGAGGACTGCGCAGAGACCTATTTAGTTTTGGGGTAAATATTTGTGCATATTAATAACCTTATAATAGCATAATTAGTTAATTAATTAGTTAATTTTCAGCTTTTCATCATCACATTTCAATGAGACTAGTGACAGATTTTCTAGAACTATGCAGAGACCTGATTAATTCTGGGGTAAATAATTGTGCATATTAATTTGCATAATTAGTTAATTTTTTGCTGTTCCATAGCTGTTGCACTGATGTCTAAAGAACCACTCATTGGATTTTAATGACACTTTTAAAGAGTACTCACCACATTTCAATTATTAAACCTAGAACTATACACCAAATTAGTTTTTGGTAAATATTTATGCTTCCTAATCACCTAATTAACATAATTAATACTGGTATCTCAAGATCTGTTCATATTAATTCTCTAATTATCATAATAATTAATAATTTTTGGTTCTAATCACATTTCAATGAAACTTGGTATATGGATATTACAATACGCAGATCTTATTATTTTTACATTGTGCAGACCTTGTTAGTGTTACACTTAAATCTGTTCATATTATGTTTGCATAAGCTTTTCCATCAATATCTCAAGTTCAAGTAATTTTGAGTTAATGTTTATTGTCTCCAATACTCGGCACACTGGAGTTCTTTCTAAGCTTTCTTTGATTTTCATAGTGGATTGTCTTATTTTAGTTTTCACTGATAAATCCCAATGTGACTTGCATTAGGATTAGGTGAATTATATGTGCACACAGGAAATGTTATTAATTCAATTGAACACAACCCCTCTTCCCTTTGCAAGTGTGAAAGAAATGTAACCAGAATATACACAGAGAATGGTAATTGAAATCACCTTTGACTCCTCCCTAAATAGATTGTATATGTATTTTTAGCTCCGCTGTCGACTTTGTCGAGGGGAGCTTATCATACGAGTTATTGTCGTCTGTGTCAATGTTTTACTTTTTA